ATAATACTTAGGCCTATGTGACTGTGAGGAGTGCCCCAGGGTAACACTGGTCTCTACAACAAATGAAGATCGCTGTTAGGGGTCGGTTGTAGGCCGACACACGCTCAGGGAGTGGGCGCCTGATTTGCAGGAAACGGACTTCCCAGTTCAGTCCTGTCGAATCAACGGCATCGTCCAACCCGGTTACCGCCCCACGTTAGCCGATGAGTATTCAGCTCAACACACTGGAGAGACGTTGAGGAAGTCACGAATGCGTAAAGGTCTAACTTCAACTATACAAAACATACGCCTGGCAACGGTTCAGACAATATCTAAATCTCTACGTTACTCGACTTAATTGGCACAGAATTCACTATGTTAACACATGAGCACTGATATTCACCAAAATTGACTAAGTTAAACTGAATTAATAGGCGGCGGGAACACACGTTAACATACCTGGAGAGACGTTGAGGAAGTCACGAATGCGTGATTCTCCCTCGTGTCGAGGTATATACGTGCACTCGCGGGCAGCTTGGGCCTCCATATTCATACCAGAAGGGTCGATCTTACCAACAACATAACTTCTCTATCATTTTGGATCACTGTATACTTAGTTATGAACTCCGGTGTTCTTGATCAGGGTAATTTCCTATGTCTATTCATATAATCTAATCAGAGGTTGAGCTTGCCAGGAAAAGGTGGAATATACACGTCGATAACATTAATTCTGCAAGCTTAGGTCTGAGGCGAACAAGGGGCTATTCACGGGGAGGCGCTAGATCTTGGAGATTATACCAGTTGACAGAATAGTTCAGGAGATTAATGACTTTCTCAAATAGACAACTGACACTAATTAAACTATAAACATCAGATTCTCTGATGTCGGGGCGACAAAATGATATAACTTCAGGCGCGATCAGAAACTCATGGATACCCCCACGGACGACATAAAATACGCCACTCTAGCTGGCAAACTCGACACTCACTTACTTGACACGTTCTACTAACGATAAGGACAGTTGAAGCATTCTACCCCACTCACAATGGATCTTGAATGTTCCAACTGTAAACAGACATATCTAAGTTGACTCAAAACAAGGGTGTTCTCTCTCACACTCAAATTCATTTTATAGAGAGGTTGGTTTCAGTAAGTCAGAGAAAATGGGATAACGGAGGACTGAGGTGTCTTGAAGTGATGAGAAAACGGACTCCTCAGATGGAGGACTCAAACGAAAGCCGAGTTACATGTTTTGTGGGCTATTAAGCGTAATATGAATCATTTGATTTTGGCGCTAACTGACGTGTAAGACCGTGGTCATTACAAAGCTTTCCCCTCCCAAAGATTCAATATTATGCGGTATAGTCGACAAAACATTCACAGTAAATACAAAATTTCAAACACAATATCTTGCACTACTGGGATAATGGTCAACAATACAGGTAACACACATGTTACAAAATTTTCACATACATAAAATTTTGCAACTCAAATGAATAATCACAAAAACTCCCAGACATGGGCAGATAAAACTAACAAAGCAATACTGGTCATGACCCACAGAAGAACATAATCATACATCAATAGTACAGACATAATAATAAAAACAGGCCGGCCTTAATTATAGTTTTTGTACATTTGTAACTACACCATCCACCAGGATGACAGGTAGTTTCCATCTAGGCGATTGATCACATATGTATAACACTGGGTCCAAGCACCAAATTCAGCAATTGAGATCTCAAGCTAGGAGTAGTTAGGCGGACCCCATCCAGTCACTGAAGTATTAGGGTTGACCTTACCACGGAAGAATCATTGTTCACTCACGAGACGAGGCAAGATCTAAGTGGTCAGAGCATGGACTCAAATAGACTATAATGCCAGCGACCCGGTCCACGTGAAACCCCCAAAACCTCGGTTCCCTTCTGTACTTTGCAATGCAAGAGTCTTAAACTGCACTAGGTCCATGTACTCCTGTACACGCCTAGCCGTAACTCTGCAATGCAAGCGTCTTAAACTGCACTAGGTCCATGTACTCCTGTGCACGCCTAGCCGTGCACTCTGCACTGCAAGCGTCTTAAACTGCACTAGGTCCATGTACTCCTGTACACGCCACTCTTGCAATGCAGGCGTCTTAAACTGCACTAGGTCCATGCACTGTACTCCTGTACACGACTGTACACGCCCAGCCGTGACTCGGCAAGAGTCTTAAACTGCACTAGGTCCATGTACTCCTGTACACGCCTAGCCGTAACTCTGCAATGCAAGCGTCTTAAACTGCACTAGGTCCATGTACTCCTGTGCACGCCTAGCCGTGACTCTGCACTGCAAGCGTCTTAAACTGCACTAGGTCCATGTACTCCTGTACACGCCTAGCCGTGACTTTGCAATGCAGGCGTCTTAAACTGCACTAGGTCCATGCACTGTACTCCTGTACACGACTGTACACGCCTAGCCGTGACTCTGCAATGCAAGCGTCTTAAACTGCACTAGGTCCATGTACTCCTGTACACGCCTAGCCGTGACTTTGCAATGCAGGCGTCTTAAACTGCACTAGGTCCATGCACTGTACTCCTGTACACGCCTAGCCGTGACTTGGCAATGCAAACGTCTTAAACTGCACTAGGTCCATGTACTCCTGTACACGCCTAGCCGTGACTTTGCAATGCAACCGTCTTAAACTGCACTAGGTCCATGTACGGTACTCCTGTACACGCCTAGCCGTGACTAAAGTCCAGCCCCACTACCTCCTACACCAACTTAGGCCTATGCGCATAGGACCTCCAGGTAAACTTGATCACTGGATCACGATGTTCTCACTGCAGTAAGACACATCTACTCATTCCTCTGGCCCAGGTTACATACTGACAATCCCTTCTCACAAGGTCTCACAGTGGCCAAACTTGCATGGCAAAACAAAAAGTTGATGTTCACGATCAACGAATCTCAAGTACTAATTAAGTGCCCTTCACGGCAATTGAGAGACGTGACCGACCAACCGGTTCTGTTCCTAGAGATCCATACGGATCCGTGGTCTCCTTCTCTGTGGGAACCTAGCCGCAGCAACTCCCCCTGGGTTCCCTGGACTGGCCAACCTTTCTCTTCCAGCTGGTTCTGAATCTGATGAAGACTCACAAGGTGGAACCTGAATGTCATTTAACTTCGTAAACATATCCCTACCCACGAACCTTTTCACTTTCTCTGCTGCTCTTTTAATTATCTCTGTTTCGTCGGACATGTTGGTGAGTTCGTAGGCGGCACCGTCTCGGATGATATCAGTTACTGTATACGGACCCCTCCATTTAGCGTTCAATTTCCTACTAGTACCTGGAAGAGGTACTTCAGCCCTCACCCATACCATTTGTCCCAACTGGACTTCTTCGTTCTTCCTATCTCTATTGGCTCGTTGTCGGACTTCACTTGACGTTCTCTCGGAAGTCTTTTTTATTAATCGGTGAGCTTCCCTTAACCCCTCACTACTTTCACTTTCTACTACAGGTAATCCAATACCCACTTGTCGGTGAGCATGGCGTGAGAAAAAAGCAAAGTGTGGCTGCACTCCAGTCGTGGAGTGCACCGCCGTGTTCAATGCACACTGCACGGGACCTAAGAACTTGGGCCAACGTCGGGGGTTGTCTTCACACAGGATGCCAAGGAGGGTCTTAAATGTTCGGTGCATTCTTTCTGTAACACTGTTGCCTCGGGGGTGGTATGGCAAAGTGAAATATGAACTAATATTGCTCCTTCTACAAAAACTCTTAAAGTGGGCTGCTGTAAATTCCCCTCCATTATCGGCAATCACCGTCTTCGGGCTGCCAAATACATTAGTGAATTTCTCAAATTCTCGGGTAACTTCTTGGGTCGCTTTAGTTCGAAGGGGGTAGAAGTTAACAAACCTAGAGTAATGATCGAGGACCGTCAACACATAACGGTACTCATTGATCCCCGCATGCATGTCAGTCAGGTCGACAGAAACTCGCTCGAGAGGCTTGGAAACTACCGGTAAGGCCTGCCATTTCTGGGTAAGACCCCTAGTCCCCTTGAACTTCTGACAGCTTTCACATGATTTCACAAAGTCAATACAATCCTTACGGTAGTTTGGCCAGTAGAATAGACTTTCTGTCTTGGCAATGGTTTTCCACTGCCCTAAGTGACCTGACTTTGCACTATTGTGTACTAATTTTAAGGCGGCTTCACGTAAATGATCAGGTACTACCAAGCAATAGAGTAATGCTTTGTCAATCTGTTCTTTCACCAGATATAAAACCCCATCTATCACTTCAAACTTATCAATGGTGGTTTTAGGGTATCTGTGCCTCGGTAACTTTTCCCCAGTCAAATACTGTAAGAGCTCTTTCCACCGTGGTTCTTTCTGTTGTTCTAGTCCAAGCTCGGCAGGTGTTAAGCCCTCTAGCGTAGGAAATTGATCGACTAGGTCTTTCAGCCGCCCTTCCCTTACTACTCTCACAGGTCTACTTAACGCATCAGCTACAACATTTGCTTTACCGGGTTTATAATCAATTGTAAAGGAATATTCCCTCATTTCTAACATCCACCTGTTCATCCTCTGATTCTTAGTCTTCTTCCTGAAGACGGAGGTCAGAGGTTGGTGGTCAGTTTTGATAGTAAATTGTGTGCCCCACAAAAAATGATGGAAGAACTGGCATGCTAATACAATTCCGAGGGCTTCCTTATCGGTGGTAGAATAACGAGTCTCAGTGGGTTTTAATTTCTTGGAAAAATAACCGACCGGACGTAACGAGCCATCCGTCTGCAGCTGATTGAGGGAAGCTCCTACACAGACGGCACTGGCATCGCTGTGCAATTCAAAGGGTTTATCGGCATCTGCCTTAACGAGAACCGGAAATGATGTGAGGGCGTGTTTCAACTTATCAAAGGACCTTTGACATTTATCAGTCCACACGAAAGAGACATTTGCTTTAGTGAGTTCGGTGATAGGATAAGCTATCGTGGCAAAGTTGGGGACATGTTTACAGTAGAATCTACACATTCCTAAAAATCAGCAAACTTGCTTCACATTAATTGGGGGTTTAGGTTTACACTCTGATACAGCTCGGACATTCTCTGGATCTGGTTCAATGCCTCTCTCTGACATTACATGCTCTAAAAATCTCACCTGTTGTTGGCCAGACTGACACTTCAATAAGTTTAACTTGATTCCCATTTCTACGAATCTATCAAACACTCTGGCCAGCCTGTCCACCAACGTTGTGAAATCATTAGCCCACACTATCACGTCATCGAGGTAGTTTCTCACCCAGTTCTTCGCTGCAAAAAGGGGCTACCACAAGGTTTACTTCTCTGGTAAAATAAAAAGAATAACGGGACTGGCTGAAAAAGCCCAAAAGATAAGCGTATAAACTTTCATAAGTTATATTCCATCACTAAATGGGGTTAGGTCTCGACTTTTGTCGTTAAGTATTACTTTAATAATTTGCGTCTTTCAAGTCTAAAGTAGCATAATACTTATTTCCAGCAGCTTTTCCTACTAATTCATCTAACCTGGGAAGGGGTTGTATATCTACTTTCAAACGTTGGTTTACCGCTCGGAAATCTAAACACATGCGTTTGGAACCATTGGGTTTAGTGACTAAAACAATGGGAAACAACCAAACAGCGGTTGATGGTTCGATGATATGTCTGTCGTGCATGTCGGTGATCATGCCTTTAATGACATCCTTAGCCTTTTCAGGGTGTCGGTACTGTGGCCCTCCAATGGGGTTATCGTTGGCTAGTTGGATATTAGCGGGATGCCCCGCAATGGTACCTATTTCCCGAGGTCCTAACACAAACAAAGCAGTGTGATCCAACATTACACCCTCCAACATTTTGCACATATCTCTAGTCAAATGCGGCCAAGGTTGATTTCTAATCAGTTCTTTCAACTTCTTGGGTCTAGTGTTTCCATATTTACTTCATCACAATATGGTATCATGCTGTTCGAAATCCCCTGAATAAGCCTTACGTTATTGATGGAAGATGTTGGTATGCCATTACAGATCACACAAGAAGTGGGGGGAAGCATTATTATCATCTACTGGAATGACTTTCAAGGTACTGGGCCTATTCTTCTGTTCAAGCTGGATCGCCAAGTAATGGGGTGCACATAAGGAGAGTTCATTTGCTTGACTGACTTTACATAATTCATCATATACTTGTGGAATGTTCCCTAGATTGGTCCCTGCAGTATCTAAATAAGAAATTTCTCGCTCCGGGATTAGCTCATACTACCCAAGTATTATACCGGTGAGCAAACAAACTGCTTTCGAGGTTATGTTACTAAAAGGAACATATATATACATGAATCCGAATTGACGCTCACGCATATTTCTGGATGTTGTTTGAAATAGCGATGGGTAAACCTGAGACGTAAGATCTGACCTTCTCCCTTCTCAAACACCCAAATTCTAGTAGCCATGACAACCACTAGCTTTCTCAGCCTTCTTTGCATACGAGTTGCAACTGATTAACAACTACTGTGATCATCATGCGTTGATGTCCCAACAAAACTTCTACAAAACTACCCCACCAAAGATAAACTCAATTAACACCCTTCAAGACACGGGGGGGGTAAACATTAACACAAACTTGCATAGGATACTTCTTAAATTACAATCATGAAAATTATTGGTAATAGTATCGGAGACTGTCACACAAAAAAATTAACGATCTCTAAAGAAAACAACACAGAAGTTTCACTTCACAAGGTACTCAGAGTAATGCTAAAACATTAAGTGATGATACTTGACGAGAATGTCCCATGAAAATATCACTCTTCATTTCAGGAATGACTAACAGAAAAGCCGATTTTCGGTACTCGACAAGTATTCACTGTCTCTTTTCAATTATCTGGACTATGTGCTGTACTCAACACTTGGTGGACCTTACTTGTAATTTCAACTAGTATCTGGTTTCAGAGATTGCATTCTTAGAGGCATCCATCTCACCACAGGGTTCTCAACCCAATCAACACATTTGCTGAAAATACACAGGCATTAGTTCTCAAATACATATAGCACATTTATTAACAATGCATATAAGTCTACACTGTACTAAATTGTATTTCAGTCTTTAATGAAATTATCAGTTAAAGAAACAGATTAAAAATGCCATATGGAAAAATCTCTAACACTAAACTTTTGTTATATCAATAAATTCACTTGTCATAAACTGACATCAAATGGGAACTAGAACCCTTTCTAGTTAAATCACAATTAAAGTCACTAGAAAAAGAACCAAAAATAATTAAAAACACACAAAGAGAAATCATATAACACTCAATTCAGGTGATATAATATAAATTCAAGTTAGAAAAATACTTCAAGTGAGAGTCTGAACACTTTCTATTGAAATCACACCAATATTTCCAATAAATGCCACAGCTACAAATAAAACATTGGATTACATAACCTTTGTAAATATGACACTTCCTTTGGCACTCAAGAGATGAACACTGTTCATCACATTTTTAACATGGAAGATGTAAACTGCCCACTCAATGTCTGCAAATATCAATAGATTAATTCACTGGTCACAAACATAAAAAAATTACACTAATGTGCAATTACCACTCTTCTGAAATTTCACACAATAAAAACTCACAAAGATCAGTTAGGTAGCTTACAAAAAAAAGTTGGTGCATTACCTAACTTTGTGACACAAAAGAAATTATAACTCTTTCACAAAAAAAAATTGTGAAACTGAATCAATTGTTAGTTCTTCCCTAACTCTTTAAAAAAATATCTTTGCAGTTCCAAATACAGTAGTATTGTACAGTACTTGACACAAAAGTTTGTACTTTAAATCACACACTTATTTGTACTCTTTACTGATGACAAAATTGTACACTACTGTATACTGTATTTTGAGAAAACAAATTCACCAAAGTACCACACCTCATTCCTTCAAATTGGTTCTCAAATGAAAATAATCCCACTAGCTGGTCACCATTTGTAACGGGCCGAGTTTCCTCTTTTCAATAATTTACCATCCAGTTATTCTTTTCAATGAGTATCCGGTTTTATATACTTATCCTTCTTCAGTTCCTAACACACATACT